TGAACTATTATTACTATATATATTTTTGTTGGAAGATTTTGATCTCTTTTCATGTATTGATAGAATGATTTATTTGGTTCTTTGTGCTTTTGAGGTTTTTTCTGATTGTCTTGTTGTTTTTGTCTACATTCAGCGATACTTTGTCCGTATCGTCGGCAGTAATTACACCATTTTTTGAAAGATGGTTTGCCTTTAGAGTTTGGATTTCGTTCGTAGATGTTCAGTATTTCAGTAATTTTTTCAATCAGTTCTGTGTCTGATTCTTGTATGTTATTTATATGTGTAGTTTTTGTTTCAATCCGATTAAAATATTGTAGTTTTAGACTTTCTGTTTCTTCGAGTTTCATTGTGATTTCTGCTTGTTGTAGATTATCTACTAATTTTCTAAAATCTAAATCTGGTTCTCGAATTGAGGAAGGATGAGATGCTCTCTTTTTTATAGCTATTTTCCTTATTTGAGTTGTTAAGGTCACCATTAAAATTTCTGTCATTTTTGTGTTTTTCAGTCATAAGTATTAAGTGAATATGCTTTCGAACTAGTGTTTCGATTCGAACTGCTAATTGTTTAATTGATTCGTTTGGTAATCTGCGTATTTCGTTGCATAAAATTCTTTGACATTTTATGCAACGACAAAATTCTTTCAGAATCAAACATTTTTGAAAATTCTTGTGTAAATTGTTTCCAATCTGATTTTATTTCTATGGGTAGTACTGAAAACAATTTTTGAGCTGCGCTATCTAGTGTTTTTTGTATTAACGCTGTGCGTCTATGTATCCAATTTTGATGGAGTGGTGGATTAATTGGTTCGGGTCCTATATTTAAAATTAAATTTGCTGATACCGCATTCAAATAATCTTCTACAGAATATTCAGGGTCTGTTCCTGTGAATACCATTAATGGTTTATTCGATGTTATTGACAATCCACCCATTTGTGAAAAGTTTGAAGGTTGATTTTTTGTTATTTCATGTTGCTGAATGTAATATGGAAGCGGTATTTCATTTTGCATTTGGGTTGGTTGATAAAAATAAATTGACATTGGGTTTTGTGGTTGTATTGGTTGAAAAGATTGTGTGTTAAATGGGTTTTGTATATGCATTTGTTGTGGATTTTGTATTTCTGTTAGATTTTGTGGGTAAATTTTCATATTTTGAGATGGTTGAGATTGTCGCGGTCTCTTTGTGCGATATTCTTTAGTATATGGTGCAAAAATATCTGGTTGTTGATAGTCATCATCATCAGATGATAAATAGTTTGGGTTATATGGTGAATATTGTTTATTTTTATTCTGTTGAAAAAATGGGTAATTTTCACTATTATCCTGTGGAGGGTGTGGATTATCTGGAAAATTTACTGAATTGGTCGATGTATTTGGAACATTCCAATAGTGAGAACATACGTGATTTAAATTTTGTGTTTTTTTTTCGGGGGGGGGGGGGGTTGATTTGTTTTTGATTGGTGTACATAATTATAATTGTGTTCTGCAAAGGTGTTTCTTGGGAACGTTTTTCGTGTTTTTGACGGTTTTGTCATTGGTCTGTACGTCTGATAGTCCATATGTGAATATTTTGGAGCAAACGAAGGTTTAACGGTCGATTGTAAGGCTACCTGTGTTAGTGACGTAATTGTGCTTTTTGGTGTTGTCAGATTTGGGTGTATTGGTGATATGCTTTGTTGTGTAGTTGTTACTGTTGTTTGGTCAATTTCTTCATTTATGAAGTGGGATGGTGATTGAATGTCTTGCTGTGTAAGATTTCTGGTTCCATTGAATTTTTCATTATGTATGACTGTTGAATTTAAGCTGTTATTTCGTGTATCAGGTAAAAATGTATTTTAATTCAATGGTGTTGCGTCAATCATTAATGGTATTACTTTTACATAATCTCTGTGAAAAGATATTGTACCTATTGCTTGACTTGAGATATCTTGTGGAATATTTATAAATGCTGGATGAGACCATTCAGGGTCCCAAACGTAATCTGATTGTTCTGCAATGACAGTGTCGTCATTGGTACTTTGGGGTCTAAAATTTTTTCTTGCTTGTGAAATTAAATCTAGGTTGTGGGTAAAATAATCTATTATAAAATGCTAAAAATTTTTGTAAATCATGATTAGTGTTTTGTGGGACATCATTATTGGTAAAACTTTCGCGGATTATATGTAAACATGTTGAAAATACTGTGATTTCGTTTCTTACTTTTGTATATTTGGATGTTTGGGTTGGTGACGTGCTTCGAACTTTTGTTTTTTCTAATATAGATATATAACTATATATTATTGCAAAAACTTCGTTAGTGAATAAGGAGTTTGCTCTTTGTGAATTATGATATTGTATGCTTTTGATATATTCTATGAATACTTTTGAAAATTCTAATTCAATATCGTCTGTTTGAATTACATGTTTACCATGAGCTGTTCGTGGTGTGCTGAATTCTATGGTGTAGATTTCGCATTGTTGTGTTAGATTACATATGTTTTTTAAATAATGTTCTATAATTTGTCGTTTGATTTTTACATCCGGGAATTCTGCTTTACATGGACTGATTCCTGGTTCAAACAAATTTACGAGAAAGTTTTCACAAAATCGTGTTTGTCCTCTATCATCGAGTGAATCTATAAGAAAGGGAAAAACTGCTTCTTCATCTGGACTTTCGTCACTTTGAGTGTGGCTCACTTTTTCGTTTGTTGACTGTTAATATATAACTATCAATATGTCTAATTGGTTGATTGCAATCATATAGGTGTACTGGTTTGTGTTTATATTGCTTTTTTATTCTTTTTTTTCCTCTTTTTGATGAGTTTGAAGTTGTTTCTGAGTCGGAAAAATATAATTGATCATGGATGGGGCAATTAATATTGATTGATTCTTTTAATTTGTATAGTTCGTCTAAACTGTTGGTTTCTGATTCGAAAAATGCGTTTCTATTTTTTGAAAATCTTTTTCATGTGATTTGTCTTTGTTTGCTTATAATTTTTCTTTTCATTGTTTATCGTTTTGTTCGAATGTATCCAACTGTTTGTGTATGTGGGGTTATTACAAGATCGTATTTTTGGTTGTATATTTCACAATTGTGTAAAACGATTGTTTGTTTACTTCCTAAATTTTTGAATGACATAAGGTTTAGGATGAGGGGTGCTAGAAGTTATTAGTGATTTTTATTTTCCCAGTTTGTTAGTCCTTACGATTTTTTGGTTAGCTTAACCTGGGTCTTTTTATTCAGGGTTGGAGAGAAAAGTATATCGATTCCGGAGAATGATTTTATACTTTCTTGTGGCTAGTCTAAGTTAAGGTGTTAACTAACTTAATCTTACTTAGGGGTAGTGATTGTGTTCAAGGGTTGGAGAACAGTAAATCGATCCACAAGGTTCAGGTATAATTAGAACGCAAGTAGTTTGTTAGATACTATTTTAAACTTACTAAGTCTAAGATCTATCCTGGGTCTGGTCAGAGGAGGGTTCAAATGAAGCATGAATAACCGAAGTTCTGCACTGTTTAGCCTCATTTGAATGGTGAGTGTTATTAAAAATTTCCATTAGTCATGGGTCTTTTGAAAAGGTTGGGCAGTGAATCGACGTTTGAGGTCGTTAGACACTTGATAAGTGGGTGGGGAGAACAAAATAATTCTTTTTGATCCAAGGATAAGCCTTGATGATCAGAATTTAAAATTAATGAGATAGAAAATTTGTTAAGATCCAAGGATAAGCCTTGATGATCTAGTTTAAAATTAAGTAAATTTAAGTTTAAAATGGTTTAAATTTATTTGGTAAAACGTTTTAGTTTTTTTTTGATGTTAGTTGGCTTATGATTGCTGTTATGTTTAGGTGATGAAGCTGGATGATTTATAGTTACTAACAATTATAGTTACTAACAAGATGATTTATAGTTAGTAACAGGATGATTTATAGTTACTAACAATTAATTGTCATGCTACTAATTTTTATTTATATTTTCAATAAATATTTTTCAAATATGTTTTATATAATACTGCAGAAGTTAAGGGAACGATTTTAGATCTTTTTATCAATCGTTATTGTACTTTAGTAATTTTGTTTAGCGCCTGAAATAATTATTGAAGGTTTACTTTAAAAATTTTATGTTTGCAAATGAAAATCTAAATTCATTTCTAAAAAAAAATAAGATTCTAAATAAAAAAGTTTGTGTTGGTTTTTGCCGTACAACCATGAAAATAAATGGTAAGTTTCTACGTAGTCGTATGTCGTCTCTTGTCCGAGGTCTTCTTCCAATACCGGTTAGTTCTCGTATTGTGCGGAATAGCGGCTCTGATCTTCTGAGTCGTAGAGACATTTCAATTAAGTTATTATCGTGTAACATTTTGAAAATGTTTTGTCTATTTTCTAATCTATATTTGGTTAATTCTAAGCTATTAAGGTCTTATTCGAGACTTATGGTCGCACCAGATGAGTTTGGTCCTTGAGGTCCCAAAAATTTTGAATAGGGTACACCGTCTGCTCGTCACGCTATCTTAATTTCGGCCGGATAGATTCGTGCAACTTCTTAGTCTAATACCGATCCTAATCTTACTCTTATATCTACTAGTCTCAGGGTGTTTAACTAGTCTCTGCTAGGCTCAATAGATCTAGAGTATACTGGCTTATTGCAACTGCTGAAGTTCTCTTGGAGAGGTAACTAATTTCTAAGTTAAATTCAAATCTCTCTGGTGCTGAAGTTACAAGTAATTTCAGCACTTTCAAATAAGTGGGTTGTTAGTTAGATAGATTATGATTGGTTAATATTAAATATTTTACAGTGGTAAAATATCTAATTTATCCAATTATAAAATGTAGTTTAGATCAGGTTCCAAAACCCTTCCTATGAAAATCCTTCCCCTATGAAAATCTTTCCCCAATGAAAATCCTTCCCCTACTAAAAATCTACATCTGCGAGATGATTTTGGCATGAGAAAGACTAATGGGCGTTTTTAATTTTTTTCTAATGTTTTTCTAATTGTTTGAATTGAATAAAGACGTCACCGGGCAAGCCGACGAAATTGGATTGGTCAACTATGGATGCTTATACATTCCAGCGACAGAATTCGATCATATTTACATAATCAAGAGCATAAACAATCTAAATCGACCAAAAGATATATTGCGTACATTGACACAGCAAGTTCGAGAACTGTCAGATATGGGCATTGATGAAAGTCGGCAGATAACGATTATAGGATGGCTCGACAAAAAAATTCAAAAATCGAAGGCAGAAACCAAGATTCGGCCCGAGAAAAGTGATTTCTCTATTAGCTTCACTCGAGATCTTTCATCCGAAATACAGTCACAGGAAAACGGAAGAGTGCGCCAACAATTCGGCAATGTAGTCCCCCTGTTGATGAACTCAAACCGATACAAAAACAGCTTCCAAGAGGTAGAGTACAAACTTTGTCCCTGTCCGCTTAAAGCTACAGCAATCAACGATCTCGAATTGTTAAACGTTGAAGATGTTATTTCTTTGTGCCGTGAATATTACCCTGACAAACGAAACCAGCAGTACTGGTTACCCCATAAGGATGCGTTCCCGGACAGTTTGCTCCACAAAACTGATGATAAAGGGCAACTAAAACCTCTGGAAGAATCTGGAACTTATATAGGAGAAGTAAAGGAGTTCATTAAATTTGTTGACATCAAAAACATTTGTGGAGTTTTTATCAAAGACTTCAGACACCAGAATGCGCAAAAAATCTTTCAAGAAGATTCGTGCATTGGCAACTTTCAGTTTGACTGGTTGCTTCTCGGCGCCGACAAAGTCTTTCTCTTTGAAGTAGGAATGACTAAAAACGAAGACTGCCCTGAAACAACGCTCAACAACAAGATCGAACAGTGTGCTACAAAAATCATTCCAAACTTCGCTTTGATCCTCCACTCAATAACGTTGGAGTGGAATTTGATCCAAAATTCCAGGTAACAGCATATATTTTTTTTGGAGTTTGGTCTGTAAAAAAAAACCATCCCGAGATTATATATTCAGCTCTTTCTTCAAAATTCAGAACAATAATCTTACTTTTAACTTTTGCTGTTTTTAGGCAGACGGGAAGCCCAGCCGTCTTCGATGAATTTTTCAGGAACAGTGTAGAAACTGTTGTGCTTTTACCCAATATCAGCCTTCAAGTATTCACTTCTATAATCGAAAATGACTGTTCCAAAAGCCCTTCACTTAAGCAAACCCTAAAAAAGTACAGTGAGTTAGTTCAAAAAATTACATTCGTAGTGCGATCCGGCGACACATCCGATTATAAAGTGGCACAAATTGCATCAGAAAACGATACTTGGAAAATAAAACCAAGTTTGTTAGTTTCTGACTTCTTCACTGGAATTAATAAGAAAAACTGCGACCTGCTTTTGTATGTCTCGTCTCTTCTTATTTTGTCCTGTCTTGCTGCTTCAATGCGGGATCTGAATCAAAGGATTGAGGTGGATGATCGGGACAAAGAAGCTCATTCAGCATGGAAAGAGAAAAACAAGTATCCACAATTCGACAACATCGTTTTAAGCCCTCAGCAGTATTATATTTTGCAAAAGAATCCAAAGTTTTTGGTGATCCACGGGACGCCAGGAACGGGAAAATCTTTGATGCTGCTGGCGAAAGCACAAATGATGGCCAAAGAAGACGACGTAGAAAACATTTTGTTCATGTTCGATCAAACTCAGCGTGGATTTAAGACATGGCTGGAACTTCGAATAGACGCAAGCGCAGATGAATTGAAAAGAAAGTATCAAATAGTTGACTTGGATTATAGGTGAGTTGAAATCTAAAAAAAAATTTGTTCTGACTACTTTCGACGAACACCTAATCGAGGTGTGTTTTTCGGACCAATTTAACTTTTTATCTAGCCATTTTTGACGGAATTTTGTTATACCATCTGAAAGGTATTCTTCACCTGAGCTCAAATTTAAAACAATAATATCCTTTTGATTCGTTTTTGTTAAGTTATGTGATTAACAATTAAAGATTGCCAATTTGGTTAATTTGGGACAGTTAACGAGCGATGAATTCAATTGGGAACATTAAAAAATGTTCCCAATTGAATTCTGGCATACTATCAACTCTAATTAAACACGTTACTATACGCTTATTAAATCACTTTGTGTTTTAAATAGCGCGTGACTGTCTTCCAACTAACGCGCTACTTAGTTGAACACTAAGTGAATGACAAGGAAACAGGTTTGATCTAGACAGTGAACTTATTAACGAGCTTAGCAAACAAAATGAAGGCAATTTGGCGGGTAATTGAACGCATTATGTGGTAGAAGAGTAATTGTTTGACCACTTGCTTGCCCTCAAACAATAATAAGGCTACTCGCTGAAAAAAAAACTATCCCAATGTGCATCTTACAATTTTCCGCTAATTGCATGCCTTGCTTCTGCTTTGTTTGTTTTACTGTCTTTCAAAGTTGTTTGTAAATACACGGCCGCATCCTTGTCATTCGCCGAACACCACTCCGTAGACTTAACGGACAGTCGGAACTTCATTGCGTCGCGCGGCACAATTTAGTCTTTTTTCGGTTTTAGTTCAAATAACTCAGATTCGGATTGTAAGTGGTCCATTGCAACAAGTGTCGTCTGCAGCCTTTTTTGACAGTGGCCAGTGGTTTTACTAGAAACGCGACAATTTGCAACGAAAGACAATCGTGACAAAATAATTGCAAAAAATTGAGGAGAACACCAAGTGCTGAAATTTGAAGAAAAAAAACAAACAACTTCAAAATTTTGGTTCAAAGTTACCGGTGGGTGCGTTGCGCGCGCGTCGCTGCTTTGCGGCAATGACCGGTTCTTAGTTTTGTATTGAATCTCAACCTCTGTTGGACCGACTACAGCCTTGAGCATATTGTGAGTTGTTATCGAAACGTATTTCCAAGTTCTCTTTTGTTGGATGTGTTACATTAGGATTTATTCCGAGCTGTTCTAAATAAACAGATGCGGAAACAATTACTCACCTTGAAATGGTCTGGGAAAAGAATTGATATTAAATAGATTTTAAAGTGTAAACATTTCGGGTAAAACAATTGAATTTTACGCATTTTCAAAATTCAACTTTTAAATTAATGGATTATAATTGGTTTCTTTCACAAGAATACTCAAAAAAATGAAGTTTTCTTTTTGTTGGAATCAACTTTTTTTATACAAATTTTCATCAGCATCGAATAATTTGTTCGATAAAAACGCATTCTATTTGAAAATTTTCTGAAATGATTTAAAAATCGGGTTTGCACTTATTTTTTCAAAAAAAAATGCGTGTATCAATCATATCAACTTAGAATTAAACCAACAAAAAGAAAGGTCGAATCTCATAACATATTTCTGGGGGATATGGATTATTTAAAAATAACAGAATTTTTTCAATGTTTTATATTACGACTAAAATCAATTTCTGAGATCTACTTAAACAGTCTAAAGATCCAATTTTGGATTGATTGGTAGGAAAAAAAATAGCGTTCCCATCGCCGAATCACTGAGTGGTATGGTGCATATTATGTATATTATTTTTTTAGTTTTAATGAAAAAAAAACTTTCATTTAAAAAGATTGTTGATTAATGAAAAATGTATGTACATTCGCTGAAACAAAGCAAAAAAAATATCAAATAACATCTGACAATAAAATGAGTGAAATTAACAATGCTAAATGTCATATGAGTATATAAAACAATTCCCCCAATTTTTCCATAGGCTGCCACTTTTTTATCTTGAAGGTACAGTTTATAAAAAAAGAAAATCTGAAGTCTGAATTTAATTGTAATATTTGTTAGAGCGTTCGCGAGTTTATTGTGTTCGAGTACACTGTTAAAAATTGATCGAGCTCTCATAAAAGAATAATTTTTCAAAAAAATTATTATTGTTTTGTTGTTTGACGATGAGTCTTTTTGTTCGATAATGCTCACTTAGATGATTTCGAAAATCCAAAATGATACAGGGTGAATGAAACAAGTTTTTTCAAATTTTCAAGAAACAGCAAAACATTCTCCATTTAAGGAACTACCTATCAGGTAACATTTTCTACGTTTTTCTTTCAAATCAGAAGAAGAATCGTAGTTTTTACAGCCCAACCTACTGGTTTTTCAGGTGAAATTATTGATTTTGTCTTTAGCGCATTCGTTAGTAGCCATCTGGTCTTTAATAGAATTTTTTAGATAGATTGTAAAGTTATATTAAAAAATGCCATTTTTCTTAATATAATTTTTTTGTCAATATAAATGATCAAAAAAGTAATCAATTATTTTTACTTGTGATGCAGAACAAAAAAAAATTTTGAACGAGCGTTTTGATCAGGGGCCATTTTCCCGTAATTAAATCAAAGCGGTACTTATAAACAAAGGCAGCTGGTTGCTCTGCTTAGAATAATCGACCTCTTTCACTAAAAACTGCAAAAAAATGATTTTTTTTTCAGTTCATTATTTTTTTGTGCATGTGATGTAATGAAAAAAATACAGCAACGGTTATTAAGTTAGTATATTAAGACTACTCGAAAACAGTTGTCTTCAAATAATAAATTTTTTCCGAGAAAACTTTGAAAAACTTTTTAGTTTTTTTTTTGCACAATTTTTTTGTTCAAAAACCTTTTGCCGAGCAATAGTTTATGAAGCTTTCAAAATTAGTTCTCGGTATCAGAGTTTCAATTTCTTTATATTATATCGTTAGTTATTTGCCGTTATTGCTCGATGTACTCTGAGCCGGTTTTCTCTACATTTAGACTGTAATTTGACGGTATTTTAGACTGTAATTTAAAGGTATTTAATTTGGAGCATCATTTTACTTTAACCTTTGATTATTTGAGGTACTTGATTTAAGAACAAAAAAAAAACAACCGAATCCAAACTTCCTTCCCATTTTCAGTAATGGGAACAAAATCTGCAGGTGAATGGATACGGCAGAAGATCCAAAAAATGATTTCAGACCTTTTTATCTCTAAATTGTGTTTTAGATTGACAGACGACAAGCTGGATCGAACAGTCATTTTGATAGACGAGCTTTATATTGCACCACAATTCAAAAAAACTTTGCAAAACCGAAAAAAACTTGATATGTTGCTTAAATGCAAGGCTTGCTGGATTGCAATAGTAGAGGCGGGACAAAGGACCATGGAACCAATAGGCAAACTCATACCTGAAGAATTTGAGCAGTGTGAGTTGAAAGTGACATTCAGAAGTGCACATCATATTAGTGAAATTTCTCAAAGGTTCATAGACCTTTTCGCAACCAATCAAAATGCTTCGCAGCCACGAGTCTTAGGATGCTTCCAATCTTCTCAAACAAATCCTAATTTCGTCACATTTGATACTTTGGATCAAGTCTGCAATGGAAATTGTAATCTTAATGTTCTAGAACTATCTGAACAGTCTGGAGCGCGATCGAAATCGAAAGCGAGACTGACTATTTTATTCACCGATCAAAATGAGCAACTATCACCTGATTTGCTAGCTAAACTGAGTGCAAAACTCAAAATCACCAACGAAGAACTGATTGTATCATATGTCGGGCTTTGGGATAAGGACCAATTTGCTTTCACAGGAGACGAGGCTCAAGAAGTACTGATAATTATCGATTTGAATAACCTTCTTGAAAGATCTCTTTACATTATCAATTTAGCTGTTTCAAGAGCCCAGTATAAAGTTTCCTTTTTAATTCGCAAAGACATAATAAAAAATAAAAAATCTAAAAGTTTATGGCGTGAATACTTGCTAGATGAGAAACCAAAACGACTCCAAGATTACTACGATCTGATTGAAGGCGACGAAGATTATGAAAAGCAGCCGAAACTGAAATTGGCAAGACTTCGACCAATCGAAATCGAGCAACTGCGTAAAAAACTGAAAACTACGAACACGATTGCATCCATGTCGAACACACAGTCGCTGAAAATTAGTTTTCAGAGAGCGTTTGTGTTTGACAACGTTGAAGATGTGATAAACCAGCTGTTTAAGAGACTGAACTCAGAATGTCGAGTGGCAACAGAAGCAGAGAGCAGAGGTGAGCTTCCTCGTAATTTCAAATTGATATATAGTTAAAGCCAAATTGTTGGCAATATCCTTTTTGGTCAACGAATCTGAACGAAGTTATTGTTCCGACTTTCGTAACGGAATATTTGTGCTCGAGGTGGGTTTTTTTTCTTCAGACAAATTTCGACTTTTTAACTAGCCATTTTTGACGGAATTTTTTTATATCATTCGAAAGCTACTGTTGTCTTGAGCTCAAATTTGAAAAGATAATTCACCTGTGATCCTTTTTCGTAAAGTTATGTGGGTTTAATGACTGCCATTTTGGCCAATTTGGGACAATTAACGCGCTTTAGACACTCATAACTTTACGAAAAATGATCACAGGTGAAATATCTCTTCAAATTTAGGCTCAGGACAACAATTTTGCCGCATTATCCACACCAAAATTAGTAGAATTCGGATCAAAATTATGGAATGCACAAACAAATACTATTATATGGTTATAAAAAAAATGCGCTGTCGCGGAATCCGCAACTGTAAGCACATAAATCAGTCTGGAATTGTGGAGAAATAAAAGAAACTGGCTATGCTTAGACAAATTTTTTTTTGAAAAATTATTTTTTTTTGGTGGATCACCAGCGGTACTTTCCAACAGTTCAATCTCATTTGCGATTTCATCAACAGACCCTCTTACACTGTACGGACAACAGTTGACAATCTCATATTCTGATAAGTTATTATAGTGACCTATATATTCCCACACATATTACCAAGTCACAACCAAAATCCGCTATTTCCAAGCTATGATTTTGCTTTTACTGTTTTAAAATTAAGTATTTTGCATATTATGAGCCCCAAAACAGCTTGCTGTGAAGTTCACCCAAATACTAAAGGGTACATCCACGACTTTGCTCAAAAAAGATATAGGATTTGTTTTTAAGCTCAACAAACAAAAGTTAAGTCCTTGCGTTTAAATTCTGTATTTAATAGATATTAATTCAAACTATAGCTAATGTAATTAAAATTGTTCACACAAGAACTGGTGTAGTACAGTAAAATAATTTAATCGAAGATCCACTGAAGTTTGCGGAATCTGCACACATTCTCGGAAACCGCTTATATTTGGGAAATCCGGAACAGCTAGCTTTATTCCCTCGATGCGGAATTCGCTACAAAACTAATGTGCCTACAAAATTTACGTTACATGTATTTTTGCGCGATCCCACGAAAAGTTTGTAAGTGAAAGCCACTCACATTTTGAAACATGTCTGAAGACTTGATTCTGGAACATGTCTTAAGACTTGTTTCTGGACTTGCTTCTGGAAACCAGTACACAGTTTGGCCTCGTAATGATTTTAGCGCGCAAAAACCATAATGAAAAATCAAATTAACCTAAAGCAGAACAGTTTTATGACCAATAAAGTTGCTCAAGGTCACGACCATTGCCCACAATTTAGCTTTAACTCGGCAGCGAAACAGCAGATCGTTGGGCAACAAAACTAAATACAACATTTGTTCATCGGGTCAAATCTTGCAGTTGGTTAATTTGAATTGCGACTTGATAGGCGGGTGGTGTTTTTTATGGATTATACGCTAGAAAAAAATCTGGCTAAAAAGATCAATTAAATGTTTGAGAAAAATTCAAAAAAAAACCCTGCCGCATTAACTTTATATCCGACCCTGTAAATTGGTATGGACGTAAAACTGTCCCTGCAAATTAAACAATTGAAACAAAGCATTTGGATAATTGGATAAACTTTTCATTTTCATAGACCTTAAAGGGCAGTCGGAACATCCAAGATTTCGCCCTGATACGAGAAGACTTGTTGCTTTTAAAATTATTTGTTTCCTTGTTTTAGATGGTAATGTTATGCTAATACAGGACTACGAATGGGTGGCAAAACTGGGCGATTTGGTCATCCAGAAAGGAGAGAAAGTGGCAGATCTATTATACCTATGCATGCTTCGTTTATCTGGCTTTAGTGTGGTGAAACTTTCGAAAACAATTGCATTTTTAAAATCCAAAAATTTGTTTGAAGAAGAAATAAAACAGAACAGAAGAAACTTGCTACATATGGCAATGAGTGCGAGAATGAGTAATGATGAGAGATGTCGAGTGCTGAAAGAACTTCACCAAGGTAATTCTCCAAGAAACGGTGATTTATTATTACTTCAGAAGAATGAGGAAGACAAAAATGTTTTCGAGTCTGCTTTTTTTAAACTTGACTTTGAGCCAATTTCCATTATCCTCAGAGAAGAGAATGAACAAAAACTATTTTTTCAAAATTTTCTTGAGTTCTCTAAAGACTCGCATCAAAAATACCTGAAAAATTGCGAGAAATTTTTGTGCCAAAGTGGTCTTATTTTTAAAGCTTGCAAATCAGCTTCGTTTGAGAATATAAAATGGGCAATTGAAGTCACGGATTGCTTCGAAGGACTCCTGAAACTTGAATTGACGAGAATCTACCAGTCCGGGCTTACGGTTTTATCCCGGCTCCTGCTGTCCTACGAAAGTAATGGCTCAGAAAACACTCTTCTGAAAACTGCCAAACTTCTGTTCGAAAAAGGGTTCCCTTTGTCACTGCTTGATCAGAAATGCCAAATCAACTCCGAGTCAGAGAATTGTTACCAAATACTGGAGAGCAGGAAAGAAGATTCTGATTTCTTTAATCTACTCGAGTATATACAGTCCCTTCAAAAATAAGTTTTTTTTTGTAAAAAACATATTCTGTTGTTATTTTTGCTTTTGTCGACGAAAAAAACTGAATCTGCGATTTTCAATTTGTGAATAAAAAAACTATTTCAGATACCTTAATGGTCCGTTGAAGTGATCAAGATTTTGTCATGATACAAGCAGTCTTGTTTCGAACTTTTGTTAATACAAAAAGACGAAGATATTATGGAAAATATTGCTTTTATAATTAATTAAAATTTTGATCAAACATTTTGTAAAATTAGAAAAAAAAAATTGTGTAAATAAATTCCTTTCTAAAATTCATTTAAATTGAGTGTTAATTTCAAGTGTTTTCATTAGGTATTTTTACAATTTTACAGTATTTTTCTATAATTTTTTTTACAATAGCTACTTTCTCACGACACCCCATTCAACAACTCATAAAATATGAAATGGTCAGAAAAACAACGATCAAAACTGGTTATTTTCATGGCAATTTTCAATCTATTATTTTTTAATTTGTTGAATCAGCAAAAAACAGCCCTAAGTGAGAATTTTGTTTCGTTGAGCTCACAGTTTTAAAAACAAGTTTCACCTGAGTTTACTCACAGCAGAGTTAGGCAGGTCTGAATGCGGGATTTTTTGAACAACCTGAGTCAATCTGGAGATTTAGTATTTCGTTTAAATGCTTGATATCCGTTGCTTAGCAAAAAATTAGATATAGGGAGACTTTTATATTTTACCCAAGATAAAAATTTATGTATTCCGGCGATACTCCGGGATTGATCGATGAATCTTCGGGAGCCCCGCCGGATGGGCAACCCCTCTTTTAACCTACCTGCAAAAATTCTAACTAAACTGCTCATTTTGTACTTTGATGCTGAAAGTGTAACTCGACCTTTTTTGCTTGGCGATCTATCCCGCTACACAAAAATGCTTTAAATTTTAATCGCGGCAAGCTGTTTTTTATTAATTCCATACACGACCCGAACTCTGACAGTTGCAAAATGATATTATCAGCCTAAAAAACATAGTTTGTCGAAATTCTATAACTCTATTCAACAAATACTACTCAAGGCCGACTAGTTAAAGGGCAGTCGGAACAGTTCGGGCTTTGCCTTGCTAAGAGCAATTTGTTTTTTTTTCTGACTTTCGTAACAAAAGTAACAGAAGATTTGGGCTCGAGATTGATTTTTTTTTCTTAGGACAAGTTTTGATTTTTAAACTAGCCAATTTTGACAAATTTTTTTCTTATCTTTCAAAAAGTATTGTTCTCCTGAGCTTAAACTTGAAAGGATATTTCTCTGGGATCCTTGTTCGTAAGGTTATGGTGGTTCAAAGGTTGCCCTTATGACAATTTTGCGAAAAATAGGGCGCGATTTACCTCGCGCTTTCAACGTGTAAGCGGGATTTATTTTAGTATATAATTTTTAAATGTTATTACTGCTCCATAAGACCTGAAAAGGCAGTCGGAACATTCAGTGCTTTGCCCTGATACGAGCAGTCTGTTTATATATAGCTCAGAATTAATCAAAAGTTTTTCACCTCCTTTTTCTTATTTTCAGTGCATTAGATTTAAAACCGAGATACAAAAGTAACGGAATATTTGTGCTCGGGGTGGTTTTTTTTTTCTTCAGACAAATTTCGACTTTACTTTTTAACTAGCCATTTTTGACAACAATTTTTAATATCATTCGAAAGCCATTGTTGTCCTGAGCTTAAATTTGAAAAGATATTTTACCTGTGATCATTTTTCGTTAAGTTATGAGGGTTTAAAGATTGCCATTTTAGCCTTTTTGACCAATTTGGGACAATTAACGCGCGATATAATTCGCGCTATTAACGCGTAAGCGGAGATTTAATCCGTCTTAGAAATCGTTCCAAATTGGTTGAAAGAAGCTTATTCGCCATAACTGATTTGTTGCAAGGAGCGAAATATATTGTTTTGTACTTTATATGGCGTGTGGGGTGATGATTTTCATAGAAAAATTTTCAAATTTTAGAAAAAAAGTTTTTCAATTTATTTTGTTTCTTTAATTCTTTTATGTTGTTTATGTTATTACTGCTCCATAAACGTTAAAAGGCAGTCAAAACTTTCAGGGCTTTGCCCTGATACGAGCAGTCTTGTTTAGATTTAACCATGATATAGCAAATTTAAATTGGAAATCTTGTGGAAAAATTAATCAAGAGTAGAGTTTGTCTTTTGAGCTTTATCTTCGAAAATATGAACAAGGAAATATTTCTGTCTGATTTTGCACCAACATAGATGACACTTATTGAACTTGACCTGGAAAGCTTGATTTTTTAAACGCATTCGCCTGACATCAACTTATTCGTATCCTGACACAGCAAATTTCTGACACAAAATTATATAAGTTTCCTGACACAGCAAGTTTCCTTGCAACAACTTACACCTGTGGGAAATTTTCGGGTTTTTAAAAAACGAGACAAAAATCTTCATCAGAAAGGAACTGATGAAACAATGAGACGATTAATGAAATAATAGAAAAACAGCCGTAAACTAATCTAGAATAGTAAAATAGTTTGTAACAATTGTAGGAAAGGTTATCAAAACCGTTGTGAAATTTTGTTCAAACTACAAAGAAAACTGATAGTACCAGGGCTAAGTTTTGAATGTTTTGACTTCCCATGAAGAAATCTGAACTGATTTCGCCACCATTAACTTCTAGGTACAACAAACAATTAATTTTCTTGGCCGTAATTTGGAATTAGATCAAAGAGTTAAAAATGTTGTAGAATCGATTTCATTAAAGTCCGAACAATGACTACTGTGTATATAAAAATCATGATAATTAGGCTGCAACAGCCTGTTTTTGGGTTCTTCAAGTCAGAAAAAAAGATAAACTAATTTGCACTTGCAATTTCTTTGTTTTTTAAGCTTCTTTAGAATAGACAAAAATCGAGATCTAGAGAACGAAAGAGAAACAACGCTTTTGTTTTCATTTTAAAGTTGATGAGCCCCCAGTCACTTAGATCTTCAAAAAACGTTGAATGTTTTTATTATCCAACAATTATTTTTCCAGTAATCTATGATTGAAATTAATTTGGTCCGTCGTGGCTGTTCTGACAAAAATTATCCAATTTAGAATGAATAAGATGACTATGTTGAACATGTTCTGACTTTTCTATGCAAAGGTATTTTGCAGTGAAAATGTTTTGAGGCTGAGTTTTTTGCTACATTACGCTTTTTCTATAATCGAGTTATCGAGCTATCTCATTGTCGTTAATAGAATCCCTATATTTGTCTATTTTAGTCGCATTTCTTAGAATTTTGGTCAATAATTTCACTATTTCATAAGCAAATGGTTCTGTTGGTATAAATTTTAGTTTTTTAAGTCTCATTTTGCAAACTGACTCGTTTTTTCATTTCTGCAATTTACTTTGATTATAAGTTGAATTTTCATTTCAAGAGGTGTAATTGATCAGATGTCAGTGTTTACATTAATCGGACATGCAATTGCTCTGTCTAAAATTCTCCGATGCGTATCTTTGGATTGCTGAAATTTCAGTAGCGTTCATGAAACTTCACAATCATTTTTTGAAAGTCCGAATATTGACTACTATTCATATGAAAACTTTAACGACAAGTTTCTACATTTTAGTTACCCAAGCTTTTCTTTTGTTTTGTAATTCTTTGTGAGAGTAAATCGAATCAATCAGTAATCCCCCCACAATTTTTACGTGAGGTCAAGGTAACTCAATAAGAGATACTTGATGAATTTTTTATACCACTTGAAAATAGTTTGAACGTTTCGAAATTTGAACGTTTTGAATAGTTTGAACATTTTGAACAAATCACCAAATGTTCAAAGGGGATTTGTTTGCGTGCTTTGATCACATTAACCATCTGTTTGCGTTTTTAAATGTCTTTTGTAGCTTTTTTGTAATTTTTGAGATTGATAAAAATTGCCGCTCTTTTTTTTAATCAACAATAAAACGTTGAAGAAGAACTAGCTATGCCCGTTGAAACTTTTAAATCAACCTTTAGATTTCCTTCATGTGCTTAATTCAGCCACTATAAATAGTTAATGAGCGCGCCTACATAGTATGACGCCAAAATGTGTCACCAAAACTTAATCAAACCCAGTTAATAGTTACTAGATAACTTTTTTTAAAATTGCTCAACGTAGATGGTTGGCTGGTAATGGAAACCAGCCTTTGCAAAAAATATACAAGCTTCTTTTCCAAACTTTTTTAGACCTTTTATATCTGAGCTCAGTGTTGTATTCCAGTTTTGTATTGATCAACATTTTACTTGGTGAGCTGATGGCATTTATCAGGTTTCCAGATATCCATTACGAGGCCAAACTATGCATCTTGTGAACTGTGAGCGGATTCTGCGACAGGCAAAATTCAGATTTGTTGCGGAATCCGCAAAATTGCTATTTTCCTGTGATGTTCTTTGCGGTTCCGCAAAATTCAGTAGCCTGAGAATCAGTTTTATAGCACGGGAACATTTGATTAGCTAGCCCTTATATAAGAATCAGACAAAAACTGAAAATTAACTGCAAGAAATCAAGAGGCATTTTGAGTTTTCTGAGGTTCCGTTAACAAAATACGCGTTCCATTTTTACTATTGCTGACAGACCATCACGGTAACAGTTTTTTCATAAGTCTTGGGAAAAAATTTTTTTTTTGCGATCCGTAAGTTTTTTTCAGTAACAACAAAGAAAACTTTGTAAAAACAGTAAAACTCTGGAGCGACTAACTTAAGACTTTGTATGGCGAGGAGGCTAAGCTAAGACTGTATGAGACAACTTTAAGTGGCACAGCGATGGCAAAACATGACGTCAGCACGGTATGCAACGCAAGTTTCAAATTTCAATTTTTTTTACTCCACAATTCTACTCTTGAGGTTCTTCATTTATTTTTACACGATCATTTCAAGCTTCCACATTTTTCGAAATCTGTGTTTTATTAAAAAGGTTTATAGCTCTGTTTCTTAACTTGGATCCAATCCTCTAGACTTTTTCAGCCTTTGGTTTAGTTGAATCATAAAATCTAGGAAAAAAATAACTCATTTCCGAAAATTTGCAACTATCGAAAATGTATATGAAAGGTTATTTTGTTGTTTGAGAATCACAAGTGAAAAGTCTGCTCTCAACAAGATTTTTAATCTTTTGTCGCAATGACTCAAAAAGATGATAGATGACTGAAAATTGATATTGTCAGATTTTGCTTGTGGTCAGTTTTCTGGTTA